CCCGCCCCGGCCCCGCGCCCGCACAGCCCGCGGGGAGCCGGGCCGGGGGCGGGCTGTGCCTGTTGCATTGTCCTTAGCGAGGCTGTCCGTGAGCGCCCGCCGCTATCTGAGGCCGGGGACCCCGGCGGTGCCCTGTGTCGGACTCTCTGCCCTGCCTGATAGCGGCTGCACCCTGCTCCGTTGCACGTCCCTCGCGGCTCCCGCCGGGGCTCTCTCCCCTTTTGTCTGTGTATTTTTAGGTCATTAGAGTGGAGGGGTAGGTAATCCCCAGGCTCAAGTTCCAGAGGGGCGGGTTCTGGCCGGAGGTGGAGTCACTTTTCATTTAAATCCCTGACTATAAAATGGGCTTAAAGAGAAGCGGGATCTCAGCTGTGCTGCACAGACCCCGGCACGCAGGGTGCGTGGGGGCCCCCCGGCAGCCAGCGCCCTGCAGCACAAGCCGCTGCGATGCTCCACTCCCTCGGCGTTCACACCTTGCAGCTGCTCACCCAGGCGGCCGCCTGCATCCTCCTCTTTCCCCGCTTCCTGCTCACGGCCGTGATGCTCTGGCTCCTGGATTTTCTGTGCATTAGGAAGAAGATGCTGACGATGCCCACGGCGGAGGAGGCGGCCAGCGCCAGCGAGGGGCCGCCCCCCGACGACCCCCCGGTCTGCGTGTCCGACTCCAACCGCATGTTCACGCTGGAGTCGCTGAAAGCCGTGTGGCACGGGCAGAAGCTGGACTTCTTCAAGTCGGCGCACGTGGGTTCCTTGGCCCCTAACCCCGAGGTGATCCAGCTGGACGGGCAGAAGAGGCTCCGTATCCTGGACTTCGCCCGCGGCAAGAGACCCCTCATCCTCAACTTCGGCAGCTGCACCTGACCCCCGTTCATGGCTCGCCTGAGGTCCTTCCAGCGCCTGGCCGCGCACTTCGTGGACATTGCCGACTTCCTGCTGGTGTACATCGAAGAAGCACACCCCTCCGACGGCTGGGTCAGCTCGGACGCAGCCTACAACATCCCCAAGCACCAGTGCCTCCAGGACAGGCTGCGGGCAGCTCAGCTGATGAGGGAAGGGGCGCCCGATTGCCCCCTGGCCGTGGACACCATGGACAATGCTTCCAGCGCCGCCTACGGTGCCTACTTCGAGAGGCTCTACATCATCCAGGAGGAGAAGGTGATGTACCAGGGAGGCAGAGGACCAGAGGGCTACAAGATCTCGGAGCTGAGGAGCTGGCTAGACCAGTACAAAACGCGGCTCCAGAGCCCCAGCACGGTGGTCATCCAAGTGTAAAAAGGACCTGGCAAGAAGCGCAGGGGTGGAGAGGCGAGGGAGGGCGGGAGGAGAGGTGGGGAGGGAGAAGGCACTGCGTCGCGGATGGCAGGAGCKGTCTTCCCGCGGGGACACTCGAAGGAGGCTGCTGCGCGAGCTTTCGAGCAAGACGTGCCATAGTCCTTTCTCTATTCAAATCATGTTGATTTGCCAGCCACGCTCTGTCAATACTGTATTTCCATGTGCGTTTTGTAAATAACTCTCTTTCTTTCCTTTTATTTCCTTTTTTTTTTCTTTTGAGAACCGTTTACTATTTTTTAAGGAGGCTCTCTTCCTACGGGATCTGTTCCCAGCTGCGTGTGTGCGCGGGTGTGTGTCTGAAAAGTTGTGTACAAGTGCTCCGTGCTGCCTAGCAAGTGCTAACTGGGATTTCTAGTATTTCTTTGTGATGACCGATTTTGAAATGGGTTTCTCTAATGCCAGGAAATCGCGTCTGATGTTGTCAAATACTAGAACTGCCAATAGCCAGAGCTGGACGGAATGTCCTATTTATGTGGGGGGATTTTGTAAGACGTTCGTTCACCTTCCTTTTTTTTATGAATTTTTTTAAATAATAAAGGTTGAGTAAATACACATCTAAGCCTGACTGCCTTCCTCTATCTTCAGACCGCTACGTTCACTTTCCCTTCTGCCTACCTCGCAACACCCTCCCCGCAGCCGAGGAGGGGCAGGCGGAGCGGGCAGGCGGGAGAGGATGCACTGCTGGGGGCTCGGGGGCGGCGAGCCTGGCTCGGCGGCAGCAGGAGCGCGCACCRCCCGCGACCCGGAGGAAAGGGAGAGTACTGGGTGTCCCCGGGGGGAACACCAAACCTCCCGGGCTCCTGGGGGAGGAGACTGGTCAGGAGGAGCGCTCGCTCCCTCGGTGACCCCGGCGAGCCGGCCCCGAACTGAGCCCTGGAGGGCGAAGGTGCAGGGCTGACCGGCGCCGTGCAGGCAAGTGAGTCCCGGCCAAAAACACGGGCTGGRAAAAGCCGTCCTGGGCGGGAGAGCCGCCCCGCCGAGGACACCCCGTCTCGGGCACGCAGGCGGTGCCGGAGCGGAGCCCGGAGCGGGGCRGCGCTGACAGCACCTGCGGCCAAGCGGGGCTGAGGGGCTCGGGCAGGAGGGCAGCGCCCAGCGCGGCCGTGTGAGACTCAGCCCCAGCTCCGGGAGCCGTCATCTGCGCTTCAAAGGGTGCGGGGYGCCGGACCTTGCTCCCTGGGTGCCCGACAGGTGAGAGCGGGCGCGGAGAGCATCCCGCAGCCCGCAGGTGCCATGCAAAGCGTGCAGAAACAGCGGATCTTTAAGGACCACCCGCGGCGCCTCTGAACGCCTCCACGTCCTTAAGAGCAGCGGGACGAGGCGCCCGAGCTGTTAAGCCCCTAAGTTTTGGAGAGGGTGCACGGTTCGAAGGTAGGGCAAGCCGCGGACGCTGTTCTCCTCATCTGGGCACTGGGTCACGCCCTCAGGGCTAAACTAAACCTGCACAAAGCTGTTTGTAAGGGCGTTCTAGCTCCGGTCTTGACAATGTTTCCTTTCTCTGGACCCGCAGCGTTCCAGTCTCTCAATATTCACGGTTTAGACTAGCACGCGTAACCACTCCCGCCGCTCCCCGCAACAAAAGCAGCTCCGAGTGGTCCGTCTTAGAATAATCAAACGCTCCTACCCCTCTCGTCAGTCTCGTTCGCCTCTGCAGCGCCCCTGAAAATCGGGCAGCTCTGCTCGTTAAAAGATCCCGACTCAGGTGCCGCTTTGGGCTTCCSGACCCGCCTTGGCCACTGTGCCTCTCTGACAGGATCGAAACCCTTTCAGCCCTTCACCTTTCTGCTGCCCCCGAGAGCGGACCCCCCAGCACCGGGCTCAGGACTGCAGCGGTTCCGCCCGGCTCGGGCGTCTCCGGTCGATCCCGGGGCGGCGGGGCGAGAGCCCGCCCCTTGGGGGACTTGCTTCCCCCGGCAGGGCGCTGTCGCCCAGCACAGAGCCCTCTGCGAAGCCCCGGAGCCGAGGGGAGCCTCGGCGGCAGCCCCAGCAGGACARGCTGCCGCAGGGCATCACCCCGCTSCCCCCGGCACGGGCTGCGCCCGCCGAGGCCAAGGTGTGGGAGGCTGAGCAGCGGCCAGCCCCGTCAGCGCCTGCCGCCTCATCATCCTCCTGCCACYCCACGCGGGACGAAGGAGCGCTCCTCCCTGGTACGAGGCTCCCGAGCGCCAAACCTCGCCCTGCCCCGCTACGGGACAGCAGAGCCCCCGGCTCCACCCTGCTGCCCACGGCTCCCAGCGCCGTCCTGGCCCTGGTTCTGCCCCGCAACGCCTTTGCCAGCCCCACGAACGTCATGAAAACCAAAGGTAGAGGAGCAGCGGGTCTCCTCTCTGTGTACGCGATTACTCTTTTTTTTTTATAGCTTGGTTTTCCTTACTTTACAATAAAGCCATTCTTTGCTTTCTCACCTCATTATCTCTTTCGCTTACTCGCTTTTGGCACGCTTTAGTTGTAATCCGAAGTTACGGGCAAGACCTGGGCATATCTATACCCCGGCCTGGCCCCCAGGATGTTTTCCGGTCATACGGACAGAAATGGTCACTGTGGGCTTTAATAATAACAGAAACAGCCTCATCTTTACTCTCTACTACTAGCAGATCTTGGTCAAAGGCTATATGAGGTCAGGATTTTTTTTCCCCCAAATAAGTCAGCTTTCTAAAGCTACATTCCTCCTTTAGACTGAATACAGTRCTCTTATTTATCACTTTCTCTTTAATCAGCAACAGAAGAAAAATTTGCTATGAATTCCTGGAATCCCTGAAAGAGATCACACTTTTCCTTTGCACAAATCAAAGTTATCTGCTCCTATTATATCCTCCACTTAAAATGAATCATAAGCYTCCATCCCACTGAGCTTTCTCGGGGATACTTGTTTAGCACAGACGAGAACAATACGCTGTACATCTAAAGAGCCCAGGGCAGCAGAAGCCTCTCCGACCGATACAAAGGATTGAGAAACGTCCTATCTTTAAAATGCATTTTTAGTGCCTTTCCACCTCCCCAGTGCACGACAAACAGAAGTCAGAGAGCGGGGAGTGATTTATCAGAGAGAGATCTGAGTGGCGATTACATGTTCTGTCAATAATTAATTGAATTATGTTCTCATCATAATTACATACAGTCCTCTAGCCAGGAGGAGAAAAGAAAGAAGGAAGTTGTGGTGTGGTCAGAGGGGGATCTCAGGACATGGTTCCAGTCATTAAAAATGTGATGTAACATTGCAATCTGGTGTATTCTGAGGCACAAATGGGGAAACACAAATGAAAACAACTACTAAAATACTATTTGCTTTACAGCAGGGAGACAGAAAAAGCACTTGCCTTCGTTAACTGTTTTCACTACTTTCTGCTGGGGATTCGAAGGTATTTTGCCATGCAAAGACCAGAGGTCTCGCTCATTTGAACTATGAGCTATATGTTGTAGGCTTTCTGTCGTTCACCACTTATTATCTGATGACACTGGATATTTCTGATGTTTGAAATAAAAATATAAATCAGTCCAGACATTAAAATTAGTCCAGCAAAGCATCCTATGCTCAATACAAATGTAGAAATGACACATTCAAATAATCTTGCAAGCAAATTCTTACTCTGACACTAATTTTTCTGTACTTCTTCCAGTCATAAGGGAGATCATAATATCATTATTAATTTATTATTTACTAAGAGCTGTTAGAGTACTCTTTTGGTACACAACTGCAAGAAAACAAAGAGCTCGATTCAGTTCTCCTGCAAGTTTTGCACTGGTGTAACTTCAATGACACGGGTGTAGTCACTTCAGAACCACCTGGGTGTAATTATGATCAAAATCTGGGCTATTGCACTTCCTTTGCTTTTCTAATGGTTCAAAACCTCTATTTTTCTACAGCATGCTGCGGAAGACAGACAGCTGTTTGCATACAGAGCTCAAAAATCATTCTCAAGTTCCTCCTCACTGCCAGTRCCAGTGTCCTATATCCTGCCACAATTTAGGCATGTCAGCACATTTCCTCACCGTTCTGCATTCTCCCTACAACATAAGAGCTGTAAACCCTATCGATATGTGTTTCCTTCCACTTGTTAAGGCACATCCTCCTGGTGTCTTGAGCTTTAGATCAGGTAGCTTTTCATTCTAATTGCTTTTTAAGATCCAGATGCCAAAAGGGAATTTGACACCTGTTTCCCTCTTCGCAAATTTCTCTTTTCAGACAAATGTTTGAAGATGCCTCTTGAGGAGGGTTTCATTAATGACCTCCACTTTATTGACTAAGTCATTTATTTCTCATCTTCTTGACCCTCCACCTGCTTCTTCAGAGATTTTGGAAGTGGTTTACAGTGACAAATGTACTAACGCTCAATGGCCAAAAACATCTTAACTAGAATTGCCAACAACATTCAGTACTTCCTGGGTGAAAATGCAATACAGGACAAGGTTAAAATCCTTCAGCTAATATGTTTTGCATGAGAATCTTCTCAGGGCTTATGCTTTCAAAAGTAAAGCTCCCTCAGYCTGGTCCTCGGAGTTCCTGAGCCAATCAAACTTAGAAGATCAGGCCAATGTGTTGTTTCATTTCTTTTTTTGCAAGTTAATAACTTCATCCTGACTTTGCTCATGAAAACATTTGCTTGCATTTCGTTCCAATAATAAATATCGTCCATCTTTAAAGGACCTTTGGGACATATGGGGTAAGGTAGCCCAACCCCCTACACATCATCCCCAGAATTACCCCAACACAGAAGTGATCCCTGAAAGTCTGATGAAGGTATCTAAGAGGATTTCTTACTGGAATCTTCAAGAATGAACTGGCACCTGGTCCCCAGCAGAAGGGCATCCCATTATCTACTATAAAGTAATGGGCACTATGAAAAATTGTAAACAGATATAGATTTCACTGAAACCCCTAGCAAAGACAGTAAGAACCATGGCAAACCTTTCAGTCTTTTATGCCCATCTTCTCTCTCAAACTATCTTAGGTTTATGAAGCAGATAGTGCTTGAACAGTCTGCATTTGACCAGATTTTCACATCCATTCCAAGGCACCCCAAGTTAAATTTTTTCAGTCACATTTCTATTTTTCTTGTGTTGTCTTGCTTTCCTTGCCTGAAAAATCAGTCAGGATGTACATTCAGAATCAGAGCACATTCTGAGCTGGAAGGAACCCACAAGATTTAAAAAGTTCAACTCCTATATGAATGGCCCATATGGGGATGAAACCCACAACTCTGGCATTATTAGTACCATGCTCTAACCACAGTAGACATAATTCAGACTATTTATTTAATCACTACAGGTTATCAAGTATTTTTATGTACCACCTTAGAGAAATCAAATGAGATGTCACTGCACAGAACCTCACTTCAAGTATAATACATTTAAAAATTTTTGTGTTGAAGCAACCTCCAGGGCTTTCTCTGAGTTCATATAACTTTGCAAGCATAATTATGCCAAAGATATCTTTAGTGCCAAAGACCTGATAGTGAGACTAATTTCTGAGAATAAAAAATAATTTCATTACATCAGGATGAAGTTTTAAATATATGTATATTAAAAATACATTTTATTAAGTTATAA